ATGTGGACGAGATCTAGTGGTGATATCGAAGTGGATAGTAGAGGGAAGAGGAAAGCTCCGGAGGGAGACGACAATGGTAGAGCGAAGAGACGATCGGTGCAGAGCAACAAACCGAAGAACACTCTTCCGAGAGACGCAAAGGGTAGATGGATGAAACGATCGGCGGTTCAGAGCAACGAAAAGAAGAATGGGAAGATCCTCAGAGGAATCCGTGGCTGTGTATCACCTCGATGCTCTGCTTATACTTACCGTTCCAGCTTCTCATGGTATTTTCTTCCCTCTCTGGACTACACGCGATTTCGATTTTATTGAACGAAATTGGATCTGTGAGAGTTTGGGTTGAGCTCAAATTTGATTTTGAAATGTGTGTAAAGCGTTGAATCATACTGTATTGGATGGATCTAGAACTGAAAGCTCGATCAATCATCTTCGGTACTTTCTGGAAATTAAAATCTCGGAATCAGTTGGGTTTGTGTGAGAAATAGATGCTTATATCGATCTCTGTTCGTGACTGTGTAGTTTCTGGAAACTGGGATTTGAGTTTTTTCGTCGTATTTCTGGAACCAATTGGGTTTGCGTGAGAAATAGATGCTTATATCGATCTCTGTTCGTGACTGTGTAGTTTCTGGAAACTGGGATTTGAGTTTTTCCGTCGTATTTTTCGCTTTGGATCATCAAAAATTTTGAATGCAGATACGACGAGGTAGGTAGAATTTGAAAACCGATTGCTATTTTCGAATCAGGTTTCTTAGATCTAAGTCTCTACATCAGATACCCAAGTGTATTCTCAATGTATTTTCTCTGTGTAATCAGGTTTGAGCAAGATATATGGACATACATTTCAAGGTTTTTGGATGGTAAATCACTGGTGATGCTTGGAGCCACAAACAAATGGTTCAACAATATCGTAATGGAGGAATATGTTTGGAGGTTTGCCTGCTTGCGTGATCTTCAGATCCCTCGGGCGTCTCCAGTTTCTTCCAGCTGGATTAAGTTATATGCTTCAGCTTTTGGTAAGTCTATTATACACATCACGCATTCATAGCAGTTTCAGATTTCAATACAATGGTGAACTAAGAAACGATATGAACACTGCAGATGGGAGTCACTCTTACTTGTTCCATCAGCAGGAAAAGCATATTGGTCAGTCCCATGAATTGAATTCATCACTTACTCTCTTAGTTTGCATTGAACTAGTACACATATTCTGATCAAAGCCTCAATTTATCTGGTTTTGATACTGTAATTATAGACTGGATGCGCATTGGTGCCTTTACTCTTGACTCTCGAATGTCACTCTTGACTGAGAGTTTTAGTGGTCAACTGAGAGTTCCAAGGGAAGGAACCATTGATCAGATGCTGCAATCCAGTGGCTCATGTGTTATTAGAGACATCAAAAGCGGTATTTGGATAGCAGGTAAGAAAATTTTCTTATTCATGATCATGATCTCAGGAACTTTTGCACTAGATAGGAAAATATGTAACATGGCTCTATGATTTTCCAGATTTACAGCTTGTTCGTTGCCCTGTTTGTGACCTCAGTACCTGTGATGGTAACAAACTCAAAACTGTGATTGAAACATTAGGATTGATGTTAGTGTATTAGTCTCTGCAACTAAGAGTGTTTTCTGTCTGTTGTGTAGGATCAATGCAAACACTTGATGCTAGGCACATTGAACTGTTCCTTAATGAAGGCTATCAAGATGGAAGCTGGGAATACAATCTTATTGGATCTCACAAGATACAGAAAGATGTACTTGCAGCTTGTGGAGCCATATTTGATCTCAAACACCTAAAAGCATCCTCATCCACAGGTAATTTCAAATTCAGATTACACTCTAATGCTCATTTTATCCTCTTTAACTCTTTGCCTCTGGTTCACACCTTAACCTTTATAGGTATTCTCCATCTCAAGTCTTGGATCGGAGAGCCAGGTGATTCCCGACCAAAAGCAGTTATCGCACCTCACGCAGTCGCTGTTCACACAAGGTTGCAGGAAAACGAAGGTATATAGAGATATCCTTATCACTCTGCATAATCAAAACCATCTTCATCAAGAACAAAAAGAGACACAATTATAATTCTTATACACATATATATATCTAAATTTGCAGGAATCCTTGTGAAGTATCACACGATGAAAGCAGGAACTGACGGTGACGTTGTTTCCATCAGAATCTCTCAGCAGCTACTCTGATTCTCCTTCACAGTGTTGTCTCAGTCACACAAAAGTCTCAAAGTATTTCTGGTAAGCATATATTGGGTTTTCCTCTTGGATATACAAACATTACAGTAACCTTTTTTTATATAATTTTACAACTTTACAATATTATTATGTTGCAAGAGTAATCTCTCAGATTCTTTCTATACGAAACACATACCAATGAATGATGAGAGAAGATTTATGTTGACAATTCTATAACCAAATTAGATATATATATTTACTGTTGTCTGACTTTTTTCCAGTATCTCTATAAGTACTTGCAACATTTCCCTTAGTGCCTAACCACATAATGACTTTCTCAAAACAAC